AAATTTTTCTTCGTTAAGTTGTTTTGCATTTTGTCATAATGTCTGAAGAGCGAAGAATTAGGGTTTCATTATAATAGGGGGTGAGGTTGTGGCGGAGAATAACTCAGTACGCTATAGTTTTTCTTCACAGTGTCATGTTAAGTTGCCATTTACAATGGAGTACGATAGATTTGTATCGTTGTTATGTAAAAAAAATAAGAGTGTGAGCAAACGTTCAGTGAACCTTAAAGTAACCGGAAGATATCCGTATTCTGTCACTCCACAAGGGGTTACGTGTTATGCTGAGTTTAACATCGAGGATAATGAAACTCTGAGTGATTTTTTGAGGACTTCGGATGAATACCGGGAGTTTCTTTTGATAAAAATGTTGAAAATGTACGTCAAGTCTGAAGACGTTCGCAATAATGAGGTTGCGCAAAGCAGGGATATCCCTCAGTCATAGGGTGGTTATTTTGGAGTAGTTTTAGTCGAGTAGGTTCCGGCTGAAAGAGTTTGGCCTGATCTAAACTTATCTCCACTGGCGAATGAGGAGTGAGGAAATAATTTCTCTCATACTTTACAAGATCCACAAGACGAGTGGTAAACTTCAATTTTCCTTTGTGTTATGATGTTTATTTTTGTTGTATTGAATTTGTATTAACACTCATATATTCCACAGGGGGTACCGGCCAGATATAAATTTTACAAGTTATGAACAAACGTCCAATTGGAATATGCATAGTTCTGGTGTGTTGGATCATGGTGGTCCATCCGGGAGTCATCACCAACAGGATGACATCTGTCAACACATTACGATTTGCAAGTGAAGTGATATAGCTATATGTAAGGTATTTATCAATTTGAGTAACTCATTATTTTGTTGGTTGTGCAGTGAAAACGAGCAACTTGAACATCTTGTCCTGACTCAATTGCCCGAAGATGACATATTTAATCGGGATATGGCAGATGCACAGAGTCAGGAAGAGAACATCGATTATGACAACAATGTAGATGAGTCCGGAGATGATACACCCTTCCCTGATGAGGGGTGATGATGAGGAGGAAGAGAATGCTGGATCTGATTTGACAAGGGAGCATGCTACACCCCCTCCCCCCCCGTTAGACCAAGAGTGTACGAGTCCCACGTGTTGTTTCATTCAAGGGAGATTCCCTACCTTGATCATTTGCCAAGTATACCGGATGTGGATGACCTCACAAGGGATACTAATGAAATTCAGACAGCAATATGTGATGAGTCTAGACCAACGGTGCTGTCAAAAGGCATGTTTTTTCCTGATAAAGCGCGCCTAAGCAGGGCGGTGAAAATGTATAGCATAAAAGAGTATCATGAGATGACGGTATGAGAGTCAACTCCGGATGTATACAAAGTTGTTTGCCGTAGATGGTTTACGGGTTGTAATTGGATGCTGCATGCGAAGAAGAAGAAAACAAATATGTAGGTTGTGGGTAAATACATTGGTAACCACAATTGTGAAATAGACACATTCAGTGGGAATCACTTCAACTTGGATGTTCACTTGATTTCTCTTATCTTGATTCCACACATTGAAGCGTCCATAAGGTACAAGATCAAAGAGTGTACTACATCCGTCCACCAGGAATATGGGTGCACCATTACCAAAAGAAAGGCATTTCTCGGGCGCAAACATGCATTTGAAATTATTTATGGTAACTCGGATAAGTCATTTGCATCTCTACTAGGTACATGGCCGCATTGCAATACTTTAACCCCGGGACTGTTGTTGAATGGAAGCTTGAGCAGAGTTCGGGAATACCGGAATATATATTCAGATACGTGTTCTGGCATTTAAACCAGCGATTGATGGTTTTGTGCATTGCCGACTGGTAATATCCATAGACGACACTTATGTCTATGGAAAGTATGATATTAAGTTATTGATCGTCATTGCAGTAGATGCTAGTGGAAGTATATTTCCCTTAGCATTTGCTATTTGTGCCAATGAAAGCCAAATTTAATAAGTAATTCTGTGTTCTAAGACCTCGAAAAGCACAACTTATAATTCACCGACTTGCGTGCGCAGTCCGTACAATTTTCCGAAAAGTTTTTATGTAAAAAATAGATTAAAATATGAAATAGAGCTTTAAAACTCAACTGAGTTGACTTTGGCCAATATTTTTAGCAAATGGACCCGGATCAGTGTTTTGACAGTTCTGGTAGCTCAGTATCGTGATTTGGGACTTGGGCGTATGCCCGAAATTTAATTTGGAGGTCCCTAGCCCAAATTATGACCATTTAACGGAACTAGCAATTTAAAGGCTAAAGATTTCAAGTTTGACCACGGGGTTGACTTTTTAATATCGGAGCCGGAATTCGATTCTGGAAATTTGAACAGCTCCGTAATTTCATTTATGCCTTGTGTGCCAAATTTGAAGTCATTCTGGATTCATTTAATATGTTTTGGCACGAGGTTTACAAATTGAAAAGTTTAAAAATTCAAAGTCCGAATCGAGGTGTGAATTGCAATTTCGATATTATTTGATGGGATTTGAGACTCCGAGTAAGTCCGTATGATATTACGGGACTTGTTGCGATATTTGGATAAGGTCCCGAGGGGATCAGGTGAGTTTCGGATAGGCCATGGGATGTTTTGAACTTAGAAAATTTTGCTGGTATAACTGAACCTGTTGCAGGCCTATGATCTCGCAATTGCAAGATCAGGCATCGCAAATGCGAACCAAGAAGGTATGGCAATTGCGATATTTTTATCGCAATTGCGAAGAAAGCCTAGGCCAGCAGTTCTTGCAATTGCGAGTTTATCTTCGCAATTGCGACGGGCCAATTGTCGCAAATGTGACATAATCTTCGCATTTGCGAAGGCAGCGGGATTGTGAAGGGCATCGCAATTGCGAGTGTTTCTTCGCATTTGCGAAGCTCAGGTCGCAATTGCGACACCTGCAGCTGAACAAAATAACTTTTGGACGGGATTTTTGATTCATTTTCCAAGTCTTCAAAACCTAATCGGATTTCGTGAGTTTTTCCGGGATTTGAGACGTGGGTCCCACTGCCGAATATTTTAATAAATTTCGGACTTTATCCTGAAATTTAGTAAATTCATATGGAATTAATTCCTATGATTCGTATTGAATATATTGAATTGTTTGTGAATAGATTTGAAGCTTTTGGAGACAAATTTAAAAGGAAAAGTTGTGGTCGAGTAATTGATTGGAATTTGCAAAGCGAGGTAAGTGGCGTGGTTAACCTTGACTTGAGGGAATAGAACCCTTAAATTATTTGTTATGTGAATTGCATGTGAATGACGTATAGGCGAGGTGACGAGTGTCCATACGTCGTCAAATTAATTGTTTGCCTACTTACTTGAAAAATCATAAATTATTGTAAATCATAAATTAATTATTATAATAATTATTTCTCTCCTATTCTTTGTCAAATATTAATTCTTGAATTCCTGCATTAATTGTTACATGCTATTTGAATTATGTGCTTTAATTGTTATTTTACATTTAGCATATTAAATATTAAACTGCCTATTTTCTCCCTGATTCCCATAATAATTTGCTATTTGTCATTGTTTGTTTCATGATTAAATCATAATTATTGTATGCTTGTTGTCTTATAATTTTATATTAATTGTTACATTTATTGGGAAAATTTCTTCTATAAGAATTGGTAAATGAATATGTTGGAGGAGTGGGTTGCACGCTGCAACAGAATTAAATGTGAATATACTGTGAGAGCGGGTTGCACACCGCAACAGACTTATTAAAAGTCCATATTGGAGGATCGGGTTGCACGCCGCAACAGACTTATTAAAAGTCTATATTGGAGGATCGGGTTGCACGCCACAACACACTTATTTAAAAGTCGACATACACACATATATATATTGGAGGATCGGGTTGCACGCCGCAACAGACTTAATTAAAATAAATATAGTGTGAGAGCGGGTTGCATGCTGCAACAGAATTGAATGTGAATATATTGTGAGAGCGGGTTGCACGCTGCAATAGAATTAAATGTGAATATATTATGAGAGCGGGTTGCATGCTGCAACAGAATTGAATGTGAATATATTTTGAGAGCGAGTTGCACGCTGCAATATAATTGAATGTGAATATATGGTGAGAGCGGGTTGCACGCTACAACATAATTGATGGAAATGATAATTGGTTATGACTGCTAAGTTGGCTTCAATTATTATAAATGAGTTACCTGAATTATTTCTATTATTGTTGTTGTTACTAATATTGCATACAGGTTAATGTAAGTGACCCGCCTTAGCCTTGTCACTACTTCATCAATGTTAGGCTCAGCACTTACCAGTACATGGGGTCGGTTGTACTGATACTACATTCTGTACTTTTTGTGCATATTTTGGAGTTGGTCCTAGCGGCGTACCGTAGACTTGCTCGGATTTTAGCTACCAAAGGAGACTTGAGGTGTAACTGCATGACGTCCGCAGTTCTGAAGTCCTCGTCTATTTTTACTTTAGCTGTGTGTTTATTTCGAGACAACTTTATTTTATTCAGACCTTTATTTATATTTATTCTAGAAGCTCGTGTACTTGTGACACCAATTCTGGGATGGTATTTAGACACCGTTGCATTTATGAATTATTTTACTATATTTCAAACTTTGCTTCCGCATTTTTTTAATTATTAAAAATTTAAAAATTATTTAAAAATTAGTTAATATTAATCTAACGTTGGCTTGCCTAGCAAGTGAAATGTTAGGCGCCATCACGGCCCGAAGGTGGACATTTCGGGTCGTGACACCAATAGCTTGCACAACATATAAAATATAAATTACGGAACGCTAGGTTAACGTTATAAGTAAGTATACCAAATAACATACCAGTGCCTCGTGCCTCCCAGCGTATGGAACGTACCGACCGCCAGCGCGATAAATGGGATTCCCGACGAAAAGTAGGGTAACGCTACGATACCAGCCCATATAATCATGCTCAGTCTCCGT